CATAAAGTTATAATCAATTAGTAAAATTTTGAGAATATTAATATTTTATATAATTTTATTAATAAAAATACTAAAAATGCTATGATTCTCAAAATTTTACTAATTAATTCTAAATTTATACTCTAAGTAAACTTGTTCAGCACATAAAAATACATTATAATAATATATTTAATTGAAAATTCAAGAAAAGATGTATAATCTTGGATTTTTGATCAAAAAATCTAAAATTAAGTATTTTCTCTTGAATTTTGAAAAATCATAGTGGTTTAAAAAATGAGATAGCTTATTTTTGAGTATAATTCTTCCAAGATGCAGATAATTTGCTAGAAATAAAATATAACATACATAAAATTGACAAAATGCTAAATTATAACCTATTATTAAAATTATCATTAATTTGCTAAAACTAAAAATCGGACTTTAAGCCAAATTTTTGATTTTTTGCTAAAATGCAAGTATAACCTATATGAGAGATGTCCAGGGTTCTCTCTTGACACTTCGCTTGGCATCGAATTAGTTAATTAGCAGAGCTACCAGTGAGTAATTATCATTTTTAATTTTTTTTCGTAACAAAAATTAGAACCGCCTTTTTTTATAGCCTGGGTGACTTTACACCTCTTTGTAGAATGATAATTAAGATATTAATAACTATTGAAAAGATTCGGGCAGTTATAGCAATTTTTATAAGAGAAAAAATAGAATGGTACAATCCTGGCTTCACATCTATTAAGGTATTTTCTGGGTTAGCCAATATGCCAAAAATTGGCAGATATGAACGACTTAGACAGAATATATTGGCTTGGATATTGTTACGAATATGGAATTGGTGTTGAAAAAGGTGAAAACAAGGCATTTAAATATTATCAAAAATCAGCAGATATGAATGATTCTAACAGAATACATCAAGTTGGTTATTGTTATTATTTAGGAATTGGAGTTGAAATCGACAAGTATAAAGCATTTACATTGTAGTAAAGTCACTTTGAGGGCAGTAACTATACTACTTGATAATGTGCCAAGAGTAAGAAATATGAATAAACAGAAAGAAAACAAAAGAACAAAACAAAAACAAAATAGAAACAAGAATAAAGAAAAATAATAAAAACAC